CAGATGAATGTCCATTTTGTATCTGTGTATTCAAAGTGGCTAGGATAGATATATAGTTACATTCTCTTAATGAATAGAGTGATTTGTTCTAATGGCGTTTGTAAATAGGATATCATGTCCGCATCTTGTACAGCAATTGACCACTAGGAAGAATGTATGCAATGTGTTAATTATTGAAATTGTCCTACCAATGTGATTTGAAAGTCTCATTGCTATTTGTTCATCAATAAAATTATGGGAAAAAAAGAAATACAGACAACACCAAGATCCATCAATGTTTGTAAAAATATTATGTAGAACATATGTATAATGTTAAGAGTTGGGATTACAGTTTAAATCATGAAATCTGTATTTCAAATAGGCACTGAGTTAGAGGTATTAATAATCACAAATTTTTAGGGGGTTTTTGGAGGTGCTGAGCTCAATGCTAAGTATTTACCATGCCTGGTCTCACTGAATGTTCACAATCACTCTATGAAGTTGGCATTAATAAACTCATTTCAAAGGTAAGGAAAATGAGGCTTAGATTAAGTCTGCCACATAGTTAAAATCAGAGCTAGATGTAAGCCCAAATGAAACAAACTCCATACCCCATGCTCTTAGCCACTATGCATTACTGCTTAAGCATGGAATTTCACATGGGTCCAGAAAAATCTGTGTTCAAATACTCAAATCTCTTAAAGACTTGCTTTTCTCATTTGTAAAATGAAGACTAACATTCTCACTTATTTCATGAAGTTGCTTTAGGGCTTTAAAAAGGTAATATAAAGGAAAAGCCCATAAACATAAATCATTGCTGTATAGACATTGCTGTATATGTTGTGGCTACATGTCACTCTTAGGGCCATCGAAAGTGCTTTGTTTTTTGTAAGGGTATTCCTGGACATGAATTCAAATGGGAGCTGTCAAGTTCTAATTAGGGGGAGGGTAATTTAATGGACTAGAGAATTATTTTAAGATAAACATGAAAGTAATAGGAATAAAACACACATTTCTCCTAAAAGGCAGAGTAGGATACATTACCTGACTCAGGTGGCTCCAAGGTGCTTTTCTCTGACAGATTACTCACAGACAAACTGAAAGGGACAGAAGCAGGTGATGTGGCAGTCCTCTCTGATCGAGGTAGTGTTCGCAGCATTTGAGCACTATCAGGGGATCGCTCCTTTAAAACAAATAGGTTAAATAAACTGTCAGATCACATTTCATGTAACATTGGTATAAATTTCCCTGCAGTTGCTAAAAATATTTATGTGAAAGACTTCAACATTTTCCAACATTCCAAAAATACTTCTTGCTCTGTTTTTGTGATGTTTACACTGCTACATCCCCAGCCTGTTTTTGAGACAGGATCTTGCTGAGTCACTAACCTACCCAGGCTGAACTTGAACTTGCAACCTTCCTGCTTCAGCCTCCCAGAGTGCTAGGATTACAGGCATACACAACCAAGCCCAGCTCATTTACCTCTTAATAATCCCCAAGACCTCAAAAACATTTTACTCTGCTCTCTCTGTATCTTAGTTACCCTAAACTACTTTTCACGTATTGGGGACGAAGTGTGCACATTTTCCCTACAAAACAAAATATTGCTTATGAGATATAAATAGCACTTACAAAAAACACTGATAGGCTATTCCATACTTTTTCATAGCAAAATGCTATTTAACATTTTTACTTCAAAAAGGATGAAAAAAAAAGGGATGAGTTTTAGAACTCAAAGTTATTTTCAAAAAAGGTATGTCTCCTTTAAATGTTATTTGACATTTTCTTTTTTAAAAATGATATCATTTAAATTGTAATTTTAAAGCAAAAAGGGAGACAATCTAAATTTAATTGAGAGCAGTTCTCTCAAAGTGAATTTCTTATTTGTTACCCATGTTTCACTGCTTATGGTATATAACCTTCCACTGCTCATGAGGTCTAACTAAAAGATAAAAGAATATACCATTAGGCCTACAGACCTGCTATACAACATAGCATTATGCTTATATTAACAACACTATGTTGTACAATTAAAAATCTGTTCCATGGGTAGATCTTCTCATATTCAATGTCCTACTATAATAAAAGAGAAAGTATGTAAAAAGTTGCATTAGAAGTCAATCCATTAACAAGTAAAAAACAGCAGTCAGTCTAAAGTGATAAAAGGGCCTAAAAAAGGATGCTTTGTATAATATCACTGTCCACAAGTCAAGTTTGTAATAATTTAAGCTTTCTCATTAATGAAGTCATCAATTCTGAATTCCCTCTAAAGGATTAAAAGCTTTCAACTATAATTACTTTATTAGCAATTTTAGCTAAAATTACACTTTTGATTTTTTCAAACTTAAAGGTTTTTTTTCATGTCTTCTTTGCAATGCTGGATCACATTATTACATAGGCCACAACTCTACCCGTTCTCTTCGTCGCAGACGTGCTGCTAAAGTTCTATGCAGTACGTTTCCTGAGGTCAGACTGTCGGAGGGCATCAAAGTAGCTCCAGGTAAGTAAAAATCATTTATTTGATTGGAATCACTTTCTCCCACTACATTAACGCGTGGAGAGGCAAAAACTAGTGTTTGACATCCACCACAGGCAACCTGCAAGCATAAGTCCAAATTAAATTTAATTGACATATATTAAATACAAATGATGTTTTTAAACAGTTCTCAGATTACCTACAACTCATTTATTTACTGGTAGACTTCTTAGACTAACTCATAAATTATCTCTTCTCTTTTTTCTCCCCCTCCCTTTTCCCCCACCCTCCTGTTCTTTTTCTCTCTCCTCCCCCATCTCTCCAAACACACAAATTATAACACATAACCTTTTAACTCTGATTAAAAATTAGAACAAGTTTCATCCACCATTTTCTTTCAACTTAGTAGATAGAAAAAATTACTTATATTCATGTCTCCTTACAAGTTAGGAGATGTTATATTTTAATATAGGCACAACACCAAAAAATTGAAAAAACAGTTCAGAGTCCTATTGGGAAAAAATGACCCAAGGATAAATCAGTCTCTTGGAATAATCAAAGCCTTTTCTGTTATATGAATATTTTCTAACTTTAATGCTTAAAAGCCTTTGTGGGGGGGGGGGCAGCCAGCTAGTTCAGCAGACTAAAGCTCCTGCTTAGGCAGGCGCAGGGACCAGGGTTCAATCCTCGGCATGCTGTGCCAGCCCCACCACTGGGGCATGGTGAGACAGTGACTGAGACTGGGCATGGTGGCACGCACCTGCAATCCCAGCACTTGGGAGGCTAAAAACAGAAGGATCACTACAAGTCTGACCTGTGATAGTGAGACCCTGTAGACCTTGTACTAAAATACATTTTTTAAAAAAGTATAAAAGCCCTTAGAGGAAAAAGTCAGCATCCAAAAATGGAACAATGAAAAATGAAATAAACAATTAAAGAATTTTAAAAAACAAATGAACTTCAAGGAAGTACTATAAAACATACTATTTTTAAGATACACTTATAGCCACTTTTTGGTGTTCTACCTGGTGGTATAAGAATAGCATATTTTGCACCTTTCCCTTATAGTATTTATAAACTTAAAATTTACCTACTTTTTTGTTTTTTTATGCGGAACCGGGGATTGAACTCAGACCCTTGCATTTGCCAGGGAAGCGCTTATTCTACTGAGCCATCTCCCCAGCCCCCCATACCTACTTTCTTATAATTTTATAAAATTATTTTCCCCATACTGTAAGTCCAACCAAGAGCTCAGCATAGTAGCACATATGTGCAATCCCAGAATTCAGGAGACTGAGCCAGGAAGATCATCAGTTCAAGGCAAATCTGGGCTAAACATCAAGTTCAAGGTAAACCTAGACTAGTGTGACCCTGCCTAAAAAAAAGTTGTTTTAAAAATCTGTAAGCTCAATTATGAGGACTTGCCTGGTTATTTTGTTCACAGATAAATACTTTGTATTCTTAAATACTGTCTACTTTCTCGCACACAGGGGGCTTTCATTACGTGGTGGTCGAATAAATGAATGAACGTGTTCCATAGTATGAGACAGTGCATCGTTGAAGAAGAAATATTATCATGACCAAGCAAACAGAATTTTCACAAGCCTATAGTACCTTTTTACTAGTAAGAATTATATTTATGTATATACAATCACAATATCAACAAAACAGCTCCAACTTTTTGTTTTGCAGTTAGAGTGGTATTAGTTAACAGAATAAAAAAGTCATGTATAAACTACATCTGAATCAATTCAAGATGAAAAAACTATCATACCCATATATAACTAACATGTGCTATGTAAAACAAAAAACTATTTTAAACTTCCATGCAATTGTTCAACCTTCATACTATATCAGGCAAGGTTAGTGGTTACTGAACATGCCACCAAGATAGGGTTATGTAAACACACACCAGGTAGTATGCTAAATATACAAAACATGGTACAGTTTAAAAACAGTTTCATATTTTAAAATTTTTTCCTGAAAGAAGTGCATTACATGGGATGGTGAAATGATTTATAGATTTAAAAAAATCTCCTACAACTAACATATTCATCATTATCATCTTTTCAACTTCATTTCCTCCTCCCACTCTCGTCTTCCTCCTGGTTCTTTTTCTTGTCTTGTTCAGCCTTGATGACTCCCTTTTTTGCTTCATCAGCTTTTCCTTTAGCTCAGTAATCAGCAATATCCTTTTCATATTTTTCCTGAATCTAGGCAGCTTTCTTTTCATAATTCCTGCCATCTGCAGTACCGCTATTCCACATCTCTGCAATAATACTAATGGATAGGCTGGAATGTACTCATTTGATTTTGTTTCTAATTTTTAAAAGAGAACACAAAATAGTAAAAAAAAATTAGAAATGATACAAAATTTCACTAATCAAACTAATGGAATTCAGTAATAGTTATTATACTGCATATTGTGGTCTTCAAATTAGTTGTTCAGATTACCAGATATAATCATGCTTGGAGAAAAACTAGGTAAAAGGTTGCCCCATTGATATAATAGGATCCTTGGTCTTTTTTTCCCTTGCAGGAAGGTTTTCATTTTTCTTTCAAAATGGTCTTTGTTTTTTTTAAAAAAATTAATTTTATTGACAAAGAAATAGCAAAGAGACAGCTTTAAAATGGGTTAGTAGGACAGTTACAATAATTAATACATTGCATATTGTTGTCTTCATAGCAGTTATTCATAGTACAAGATGCAGACATGGTATCTTGTCTAAACACTATTAGTACAAATCTTTTTTCTCATTGAACTAAGAGAAAGTAGCTGTGTATCTATCCTAATTATTTTGTATATACAGGTATTTTTTTTCACTACAAAATGGTCCTTCATTTATATCCCCCTTTTTTGTTTACTTTTGTCAGAGATGAGTATTCCCTTGCCATTCATATATTGTAGTTGCATGAATTCAGCAAAATAACCGAATATAATCCAGTAGTCCATAGTAGTAGTGGGTTATCTACAGAACTAGCAAAGTCTAAAGTTGTTGACTTGAGCCTTTTACAGCTCAGCATGTTAATATGGCTTTACTTTTTATACCTCATTTTCATACTTTTCTGCTGGATGGTTAAGACCAACATGAAGCAAGACCTACATAACAAAAATGTAACTTTTGTATCTGACAAGGTCCATCAAATCCCCTCAGAATTTACCTTGAAAGCCTGTACCGCAGTTTGTAGATCTTTTATCAGTGTCAGCCATATGAATGAGTCACAGCCATTGCTTGACCAATTTGCTCTCTGTGAAAGCATGAAAGAATGTTTTCTCCCCAGGTGACTCTCCTTAGGCAAACTCTATGTCATTGATCACATTGCTCTGTGGCCCCATAATCTTCTTGATCAGAAAATTTGGGACACCACTGAGTTATAAGATCTTACAGTACAGATTCTTCTATGTCCTGAGTCCTCACTGACCTTGAAGGGCTAGGGCCAAAATGTTGGCTATCCTTGTAGGCCTTCTTTTATTTGTCTGCAAACTTAAGTTGTTAACCCTCCAGAAGAGGAACTTTACCCTATATCATAGGCAGTTGAGCTTAACATCACATCCTGCTACAATGTTATATATGGTTAGATTTCTAAATTTCTGTATAAAGATGTGTAATTGTTTATTTTTATTTTTTAATTTTTTTTCACATCCTATAGGGATTTAAAGTTTAGCTTATCAATGATTGTTGGAAAATACCTCTTCTGTGTTATCTCTCAGACACTTGTCTGTTTTTGTTATGTTTTCAAATTTTCCTTTTTTTTGGTAGGCATGGTCTTCCACTTCACAGAGCACTTCTTAGAAACTTACAACTTGACAGAAGCATCTGGATGATGCTTCCTATGCTTTTATTGGCAAGTTTGTACTAAAGAATGCATGTGATTAAATTTCAGTGTAGAAATTTGTAATTGTTTATTTCTATTTTTTACTATTTCTTAAATTTTTTTATTTTTTCACATTCTGGATGAATTTAAAGTTTAGCATATTAATGATTCACAGAAAATACCTGTTCCATGTTATGTCTAAGGTGTTTGATATTCAGACAGATACTGATGTTAAGCTCAACAGCCTATGTATAGGGTAATAATACCATTAAGCTTCTCTTCTGGAGGGTTAACAACTTAAGTTTGCAGACAAATAAAAGAAAGGCTACAAGGATAGCCAACATTTTGGCCCTAGCCCTTCAAGGTCAGTGAGGACTCAGGACATAGAAGAACCTGTACTGTAACACCCTATAACTCAGTGGTGTCCCAAATTTTCTGATCAAGGAGATTATGGGGCCACAGAGCAATGTGATCAATGATGTAGTGTGTGCCTACAGAGAGTCACCTGGAGAGAAAACATTCTCTCATGCTTTCACAGAGAGCAAATTGGTCAAGCAATGGCCATGACTCATCCACATGGCTGACACTGACAAAGGATCTATAAACTGCAATACAGGCTTTCAGGGTAAATCCCGAGGGGATTTGACATATCTTGTCTGATAGAAAAGTTACATTTTTTGTTATATAGGTCTTGCTTCATGTTGGTCTTAACTATCCAGCAGAAAAGTATGAAAACAAGGTATAAAAAGCCATATTAATATGCTGAGCTGTAAAAGCCTCAAGTGAACAACTTCTGACATTGCCAGTTCTGTAGATAACTCACTACTATTATAGACTACTGGATTATATTCAGTTATTTTGCTGAATTCACACACCTACAATATATGAATAGCAAAGGAATACTCATTTCTGACAAAAGTAAACAAAAAAGGGGGATAAAAATGCAGGACCATTTTGGGATATTTTTTCTTTTTTATTTACTTTATTGACAAAAATTGCAACGTGACAGCTTCAGAACAGGTTGGTAGGAGAGTTACAACAATACATTGCATATTGTTGTCTTTGTAGTAGTCATTCATAGCACAAAATACACACATGATATCTTGTCCAAACACTATTAGTACAGATCTTTCTTCTTTTTTTTTCTTTTCAAAGTTTTATTGATAAACATATAGCAATGAGACAGTTTCAAATCAAATTGAAAGTACAGTTTCAACAAATAATACACTGCATATATTCTTCTTAGTGGTTAATTGCTGTTACAAGATGCAGACTTGTGATCCTACTTACAAACACCATTAGAAA